TAGTAGCTATAAACAGCCAGGTCTCTAACATTTGACTGTTAAAATGGCCAGACTGGTGTGGTCAACTAATGGCAAGGATTCAATTGACTAGTTTAAACTGTGGAATGGCTCCTCTGATCCATAATAAGACCTGGAGAGCCAAGCTGGCATGATCAGGAATTGAAATGATTCGGTATAACATTGAGAAGACTACATCCAGGTGAATGTGTTCCAATGAAGGCCAGAAGAGGTATAGCTGGTCAGATCAGATAATGGCAAGCCCTCCCCATTATCAGAAGTGACCATATGTCAGAAATGGTCGGACAGGTCTCTGTTGTTATCTGCTCTAAGTAAATGGACTTCCTGATGTATCCAACATATCAGCTTGCCATCTCCTCATGAATCTCACCCCTCACCATGCTGTTTCCAGCAAATTTGTCTTTGACCTTGCGGGAACCATAGAGATCTCATAGGAATCTGACATTTTTGATTGCCATGGATTCTTAAGCCTCTTATTATAAAATTGCTCAAATATCTAATTTACAAATTAGGATTTTCCTATCTAATTACGATTTATGATTTTCTGCAAGGACTATGATGTCTATATATTTTTTTACATTACTTTTAGGAGGTGCCTGTTCTGCCAACCTTTTCTTACAAACTTTAAACATTGAAGTTCAACGAGTAATGAAACTATCTTGAATTTATATAGAAAATAAAATTAAAATCTTGACACCTACCACTGCACTCTATGTACTTTACCAACTCTTAAAAAGTTGAACAATTTAAATATTTGATGAAATGTGTAGCCTAGATGGGAGCCATGATTCTGAGTTCCCATGGCAAGTTTGGGCCATTCTGCCGCGTTTTTATGACCATTACCAATGCCCCGGTCACACATGTTTAAGAGTTATATCATCTGCTTTTTGTTTGGGGGCTGGTTAAGGCAGTTTTCGATAATGCACAATTTGAGGAGAACTACGCTTTTCTAGGTAGTGGGTTGAAGATTGCAAAGAGGTGTATATCTAGACTTCGAGCCTGTGGAGATGGCATCACATCTTTACGTCAAGTAATGGGCGAGAGAGATTGAGATTGTTCTACAGACCACTTCACTACAGATGTTGGCCATCCAAACCAATTCAACCAATCGCTGCCGACATAAGACTTAGCATTTTTGGAGCGACTGGTACCACCAAGAGTTGTCCTTCTCCCCCCCTTGTATATGTAGGTGTATCTCCCCCCTTTGCATATGTAGGTGTTACTCCCCCCTTTGTATACGTAGGTGTAACTCCCCCCATTGTATACGTAGGTGTAGCTCCCCGTTTTGTATACGTAGGTTTAGCCCCCGCCCCCCCCCCCTTGTATAAGTAGGTGTAGCTCCCCCCTTGTATATGTAGGTGTATCTCCCCCCTTTGTATACGTAGGTTTAGCCCCCGCCCCCCCTTGTATATGTAGGTGTAGCTCCCCCTTTGTATACGTAGGTGTAACTCCCCCCATTGTATACGTAGGTGTAACTCCCCCCTTTGTATACGTAGGTGTAACTACCCCCATTGTATACGTAGGTGTAGCTCCCCCTTTGCATACATAGGTGGAGCTCCCCCCCCCCTTTGTATACATAGGTGTAGCTCCCCTCTTTGTATACATAGGTGTAGCTCCCACTTTGTATACATAGGAATATCTCCCAGTTTTGTATATGTAGGGGTAGCTCCCACTTTGTATACGTAGGTGTAACTCCCCAATTTGTATATGTAGGAGTAGCTCCCACTTTGTATACATAGGAGTAGCTCCCCCCCCCTTTGTATACGTAGGTGTAACCCCCCCCATGTATACGTAGGTGTAGCTCCCCCCTTGTATATGTAGGTGTATCTCCCCCCTTTGTATACGTAGGTGTAACCCCCCCATTTGTATACATAGGTGTAGATCCCCCCTTTGTATACATAGGTGTAGCTCCCCCCCCTTTGTATACATAGGTGTAGCTCCCCTCTTTGTATACATAGGTGTAGCTCCCCTCTTTGTATACATAGGTGTAGCTCCCCCTTTGTATACATAGGTGTAGCTCCCCTCTTTGTATACATAGGTGTAGCTCCCCCTTTGTATCCGTAGGTGTAACTCCCCCCATTGTTTATGTAGGTGTAGCTCCCCCCTTGTATATGTAGGTGTATCTCCCCCCTTTGTATACGTAGGCTTAGCCCCCGCCCCCCCTTGTATATGTAGCTGTAGCTCCCCCTTTGTATACGTAGGGTTTGCTCCCCCTTTGTATATATAGGTTTAGCCCCACCCCCCCTTGTATATGTAGGTGCAGCTCCCCCATTTGTATACGTAGGTGTAACTCCCCAATTTGTATATGTAGGAGTAGCTCCCACTTTGTATACATAGGTGTAGCTCCCCCTTTGTATACATAGGTGTAGGTTTAGCCCCCGCCCCCCCTTGTATATGTAGCTGTAGCTCCCCCTTTGTATACGTAGTTTTAGCTCCCCCTTTGTATATATAGGGTTAGCCCCGCCCCCCTTGTATACGTGGGGGTAGCTCCCCCTTTGTATACGTAGTTTTAGCTCCCCCTTTGTATATATAGGGTTAGCCCCGCCCCCCTTGTATACGTAGGTGCAGCTCCCCCTTTGTATACGTAGGTGTAACCCCCCCCATGTATACGTAGGTGTAGCTCCCCCCATTGTATACGTAGGTGTAACTCCCCAATTTGTATATGTAGGAGTAGCTCCCACTTTGTATACATAGGTGTAGCTCCCCTCTTTGTATACATAGGTGTAGCTCCCCCTTTGCCCCCTTGTATAAGTAGGTGTAGCCCCCCCCTTGTATATGTAGGTGTATCTCCCCCCTTTGTATACGTAGGCTTAGCCCCCGCCCCCCCTTGTATATGTAGGTGTATCTCCCCCCTTTGTATACGTAGGTTTAGCTCCCCCTTTGTATATATAGGTTTAGCTCCCCCTTTGTATATATAGGTTTAGCCCCGCCCCCCTTGTATACGTAGGTGTAGCTCCCCCTTTGTATACGTAGGTGTAGCTCCCCCTTTGTATATGTAGGTGTAGCTCCCCCCATTGTATACGTAGGTGTAACTCCCCCCATTGTATATGTAGGTGTATCTCCCCCCATTGTATATGTAGGTGTAACTCCCCCCATTGTATATGTAGGTGTATCTCCCCCCATTGTATATGTAGGTGTATCTCCCCCCATTGTATATGTAGGTGTATCTCCCCCCATTGTATATGTAGGTGTAACTCCCCCCATTGTATATGTAGGTGTATCTCCCCCCATTGTATATGTAGGTGTAGCTCCCCCTATGTATACGTAGGTGTAGCTCCCCTCTTTGTATACGTAGGTTTAGCCCCGCCCTCCCTTGTTTACGTAGGTGTAGCTCCCCCTTTGTATACGTAGGTTTAGCTCCCCCTTTGTATATGTAGGTGTAGCTCCCCCCATTGTTTATGTAGGTGTAGCTCCCCCTTTGTATACGTAGGTTTAGCTCCCCCTTTGTATATGTAGGTGTAGCTCCCCCCATTGTATACGTAGGTGTAGCTCCCCCTTTGTATACGTAGGTGTAGCTCCCCCTTTGTATATGTAGGTGTAGCTCCCCCTTTGTATATATAGGTTTAGCCCCACCCCCCCTTGTATATGTAGGTGCAGCTCCCCCATTTGTATATGTAGGTGTAGCTCCCCCTTTGTATACGTAGGTGTAGCTCCCCCCTTTGTATACGTAGGTGTAGCTCCCCCTTTGTATATGTAGGTGTAGCTCCCCCTTTGTATATATAGGTTTAGCCCCACCCCCCCTTGTATATGTAGGTGCAGCTCCCCCATTTGTATATGTAGGTGTAGCTCCCCCTTTGTATACGTAGGTGTAGCTCCCCCCTTTGTATACGTAGGTGTAGCTCACCCCTTTGTATATGTAGGTGTAGCTCACCCCCTTTGTATATATAGGTGTAGTCACTGATTAAGACTAAATTAAGGCTTACGTAAATAAGCCAGGTTTAAATGAACAAATTATTTTATACAGACTACAAATCATAATTTTAAAGAATTATTTAGGGAGTACACTGTATAGAACTTGTAGAACTATTTATATAAACTAATAATTTTATGTTTATTAGGTAACGATGTGATCATATATAGCGTAAGGTAAAGATGTAATATGATATGTAGTGTTAGGCAATCCTAAATATAGATCAACCGCTTTAGAGCAATCTGATTGGTTGGGGTATAGTTGGTCATTGTTTTCACAGGCTCTGTAGCAGAAAGACGTCGCAATCTTTGTCTTTGAAAATCACGCTACTTAATATATTAGAACATCACCAGTATCGAAAGGTCTTTGGTAAACAGACCAACACAACACCGTTGGAAACAACATTGACAATTAATTTTGCCAAACAAGTAACAAGTAAGTCATCTCAAAATGTAATGAACAGAATTTTCTTTTGAAGAATTAATATCGTTTATGAAATCAGATCAGCATTACCTGAAGTAACTACTAAAGCAGAAGCTGAATTCTGACCACAGGTGACCCCTCAAAAAGGATGATTTGATGAGAAAGTGACATTTTAATGTAATGGAACAAGTCACATTTAATGATCACTCCCCCTTGACAGATATCTAAATACAATACCTCTATCGTACTACTGATCCAATCGTAGTGATTTCAGGTAAACGACAGTCTACCCTTTATTTCCTACTTAAAACACAATAACACAGGTAAACAATATTTTCCAACCCCCCAGTTACCTACCTGAATTGTGATGCAATAGGTATATACAGATAAACGTGGTTACCCACCTGGAATTTTTAAAACCACTAAATTAGTTGTGTTTGTACCTGTGTGGTAGACATTGATATTTAGTACCCATCTAGTTTGGTAACTTAACCAGTACTACTACATGTACTGTAACTTCCATTTGAGTACACCATCAGTGACGGAGTAGTGTATTAGAACTGTAGCTATCAATATCTGTGTAATACCACATCATCATAGTACAACAGAACCATGCAATGTGGACCTTTATTTTTGTAATCTAACTCACCTGAAATTGTTGTGGTACCACAGGTAGGTAGGTTCTGGATTTCCAGAGACAATACATTTTAGGGATAGTTCTGAACCCAAGGCCACTTCGCTAGGCTTTGGTTTTCTGAGCTCAACTTCTGCTGTTTTTCCTAACCCTGGAAAATATAACATATGTAGAACATTAAATCACGAGTTAAATGAAATTTGTTTTTATTCATTTTCACCTGAAATTGAAGGGGGGAAAAGAACACTATCATGGAATATTGCAAAAATCTAATGTGTTCTTTTGAAATATAACACAGGTGAAATTATCTATATATATATATACTTTTAATTCAATCAAATAGATCATGATTTCTGTGAAGAAACTGACCTTAATCTAAAAAGTAGCATGCAGAACAATGGGGATCTATCTTTTTCTTTGTGGTTCGAGTTGCCTAAGTGTATTTGAAAGATTATGTAATGGACAGACCCTGATAAAGAGAAACTGATCGCTGCAAATTCTGGAGATGGTCTATCATAAAGATGTAAACAATGCTGAGGATGGCAAGATGAAATTTAAAGGAATGACCAATAAATTTCTACATTAAATTTAAAAAAAATTATCTTGAAGAGCCTAAGATAAAACCAACACTTCAGGAGAAACACGCAAATCTGTTATGGTTGATAACCACTCAAGAATATAATTTAAATATTTGTAAGTTTGAAAGCGAAGAAATTTGACGTCTCCATGCTGATACCTACTTACAGATATGAAATACTGTATTGCACTATCTCATATTTTTATATTTCATTATTCACTTTAAAGAAGAAAATTATAAGCGAAGCACTGATGATCAGACAGTATCTATGGGTCGGGGATAGCAAAGGTAATCTGTGGTATACAATTTCACTTCCATGATTTCTAAATTTTTCTTCTTTCATAATCAGACAGAAAGATGCCTTAAGGATAGATGTGGCGGCCCCTTCAGCACTGCCTACATGTAAACATCTGCAGATTGATACACGATCACTGCATCCAGCAAAGTGCACACCAGCAGACACTGAAGATTTGCTGATGGAAGAAATACATAAAACTCAAGATATTTATCAAGAGAAACGGAAAAGAAAACCATCTTTATATGATAAACCAGCACTAACATGAGTCATTTAAAGCTAACATAAGAAAGCCCTTTCACTATCATTAGGTGGTAATATCGTATTGAAAATATAAACCAATCAAGTGTGACAAAAAAATAGCCATGCTTTCTGTCAGTTTAGTGTCCCTTACAATCTCGGTGGGCAAAAAAAAAAAGAAGATCTTTCAAGCATTATTAAACATCTAACTTACCAGTATAAATCTTTCATCTAGCGACCCAAAAAAAGGAAATTGGTAATTTATTTACCATGTTCTTACACTCCAGCTAGTTTCTTACGCCTGCATCTTACGGGCAGTAAAATTTACACAGCCGTTATATTTTCTCCACTATTACAGTCTAAACCCAAGTGTATGATATCTGTATAAAACGTGAAATGATGAAATTAAACAACAGTAACCCAGAAACAACCCCCTCATGTGAACAAGGTTCGAATGACGAAGACTCGCACCCCTATCTCCAATATCTGGGGATAGTAATAAATGGTCTGAAAACACTTGCATTTTCAATAAACCATGCTGGTCATGGGAAGCATTTAAAACCTAGTCCGCAAACAAACCACATATCGCCTCTAAGTGGATAATCATATCAGCGATTCATCTCATCTTGAAAATACATTGACACACGCCCATCACATGAATATAACTAATTTGATCAACCCTCCTCAGAGATTTCTTGTTGGGTTTTGGAGATTTTGGTAAAGTGCTTATCCCAGTACCTTTCTACAGGTTATCTCCCTTGAGAACATCAAACCAAAGTAATGACTTTCATCTACAGATGTATTAATGTCACTGTGAAAATTGATACAAAATGTGAAAAGAGACAAATGCATTTCAGTAGCTACAGCTCAGTGATGTTGAGGGAGTTTTCAGAGACCTCTAAGATACAACAACAACAATGTCAAATTGGGTTCAGTGAGGGAAGAATGGAAAGGTGATCAATAACAGCAGATTCTGGTACAGTAGCTTTTCATGTTTTCTGTCTGCACCCTGTTCACTTGACCACTGACCAATGCCTGACCTTTGCAAGGCTTACTTTGTAAAATGGATATCTTCTGCTGGTCAAACTGGACTGCTCTGATTGACCTACCCCAACAATGCATGACCCCACCTTGCACTGGTGAGTCTACAGACATAATATTGTTGCCTTTCGTCCCTGTTGTTGACTGATCCACTTCTTCCCTATTTCCTCCCTTTTACAATTCACTCCTTACTTATCCCTTAATATGTAAACTGCCTTCCTGTGTCCTATCAACACCAAATGAGGTCACTCTCTCCCTTCCCCTGTCCCTATACCCTACCTTCTGCAACCTAACCCCCTTCCTCCCTCCTCTTTTCCCTAACCCCCTCCCTCCTCTACCCCACAACCCTTCCTACCCTCTACCCTTCTACCACCTAACCCTTCCCTCTACCCTTCATACATTCTTCCTCACTGCCACCTAACCCTTCCCTCTACCCTTCATACTATCTCCTTCACTGCCATCTAACCCTTCCCTCTACCCTTCTTACTATCTCCCTCACTGCCACCTAACCCTTCCCTCTGCCCTTAGTACTATCTCCTTCACTGCCACATAATCCTTCCCTCTACCCTACATACTATCTCCTTCACTACCACCTAACCCTTCCCTCTACCCTTCGTTCTATCTCCCTCACTGCCACCTAACCCTTCCCTCTACCCTTAGTACTATCTCCTTCACTGCCACATAATCCTTCCCTCTACCCTACATACTATCTCCTTCACTGCCATCTAACCCTTCCCTCTACCCTTCGTCCTATCTCCCTCACTGCCACCTAACCCTTCCCTCTCCCCTTAGTACTATCTCCATCACTGCCACCTAATCCTTCTCTCTACCCTACATACTATCTCCCTCACTGCCACCTAATCCTTCTCTCTACCCTACATACTATCTCCTTCACTACCACCTAACTCTTCCCTCTACCCTTCGTACTATCTCCTTCACTGCCACCTAACCCTTCCCTCTCCTCTTCATACTATCTCCTTCACTGCCATCTACCCCTTCCCTCTACCCTTCGTACTATCTCCTTCACTGCCATCTAGCCCTTCCCTCTACCCTTCGTACTATCTCCTTCACTGCCATCTAACCCTTCCCTCTACCCTTCTTACTATCTCCCTCACTGCCACCTAACCCTTCCCTCTACTCTTAGTACTATCTCCCTCACTACCACCTAACCCTTCCCTCTACCCTTCGTACTATCTCCCTCACTGCTACCTAACCCCTCCCCTTCTTCTACCCCTAATCCTTCATACTACAAGTATTTACCCTACTATCCCCTAACTCCCTCCCTACAATCTACCCCACTACCACCTAACCCCCTCCCTCTACCCATTTAACCTTCCTACCATCTACCCTACTACCCCTTACCCCTCCCTCTTCCCCCTTCCTACCATCTACCCAACTACCCCTCACCCCACCCTCTAACCCCTTACCCCTAACATCTACCCCACTTCCACCTTTAACTTCCCCACACCAAAATCTCCTTCCTTCCACCACATCACCATAAGCGTCATTCGTTTATTTTACAAGTCAACATTCTGACAGGAACAATGACAGACACTCCTTCCAAAACAAAGAGAAACTCAAAACTACCAATGGGCATGCTATTGTAGCCATGACAACATTTTAACCCAACAAAGAAAATGGATCAAATTCTTTCAAGAGAAGAAAAATCATAAAAACTTTCATTGTTAATTAATGGAATATGGACTTGTTTGAACCTAACATCAGACAAATAACTGTCAGGGTTCAAATTCATTGTAACACTACAAAATACATTTGAGTTTTTTTCCCAGTGACAAATGGTAGCATTTTGAATCATTTTTTCTCACTATATTTGCCCGACAATGATGAGTGTTAATTTAATACTCCAGCATCAGCTGCCTGTCTACTCTAGTACATTCACGGCAGGTTTAATGTACAAAAGATGATACACGCCACACAAATAGAGATGTGTATTTGAGGAAAGATAAAAGATGCCTCTGTTTATCTCATACAATGACCCAAACACACGCACTGAAACACATGAGATTAGGCTGCTACTAACTAACACAATTAAACAATACAAGACAGTTTCATGAATGGCAACACAAGTTTACAGTTACAGCTAAGGTCTGATCAGGAGAATTTTTTCACCCTCAAAAATATTCACTTAAGTTTATAACGTTTATGTGCAGAAGCTTTAAGGATTATCAAGTTTGATGGCAGTAAAATTGGGGTGAATTCATCCCTACTTAGGCATCAGCCAACCGTGAAATAGTTGTCACAGAAACCCAACAATTTTGTACCAGATAACATCAAACCGCAAGATAGACAGCAGAACTGTAGTAAATCTAACCCCACTTCTGACCACATTTGACCTTTGCCTTTTGACCTTGAGATACTGGCATGACCTTTAGTTCTTTGTCATGTCCATCCATCCGTAGCACCACAGACTTATCCTTTTAAGATTCAGATTGCACTTTGTGGGGTTAATTATTAGAGGTGGTTTATACACCTATTTAATCAAAACAAATCTATTTAGTTTCTATTTAAACAGATAAATAACACAGCTTTGTGCTAACTAATTCCACACTAACATCTAATTAATATGATGAAATTTAATATGCTGCATCATAATGTGCAAATAATTAACCTGAAATCAATCCAATCAAAAAAACAGATAACAAGAGAAGTGTTGAAAGTAGTAGCTAATCAATTCAATATAACGTTTAAGGTGGGGATGGAGTAATTAAATTAACCAATCAAAATCAAGATAACAAGAGAAGTGTGGATAAAACTGAGTGGTGTGTAATGGGAGAGAAATGAACCTGTTCAACTCTGTTAAACTCTGTGTCCCAGGCAAACCCCCTCCAACTTCAATGTCTACACTGCGGATAAATAGAATTACACAGAACAACTTTGAATGGTACTTGAAAGTGAAATTGGGTGATTTAATAGTGGAAGCCCTGCAGAGTTCCTTATTGTGATAGAAGGGAGCATGTTCCAAATGTATAACCATATT